AACTTCAAAACATCTTCCTCAAAGTCAGAAAAGTTCTGATATTTTCATGCTCAGGCAGACATCATCACTGCAGATTAATTTCTAAAAACGAGTTTTGCTGATGTACAAGTTGAATGAGATAAACAACACTACTGAGTCTGGAGCTTACAAGGGTCCGTAACAGCAATATACAGTCAAAGTGTAGGTGAGCTTACAAAAAAAAAGAAGTATAGAAATGCAGGAAAACAGAATTCCTGCAGGATTTTGGACAGTTTCATAGTAAACTAGTATGCTGTACCCTATGCTTGGTAGACATCCAGTCAAGTAGTCTAATAGCAGTTTTTTAACTTTGTCCAATGGCCATTTTCTGCATGTGTTGTCACAGGTACTACAAACACAACAAAGAACATTTTGCCCTGGTTGCTGTGCTGCACATAACTGGCAAGCTCCACCTCAGGAACCAATAGTGCAATACATGTTACAGAAAATGCTGAACAATGGTACACTATAGAAATTGGATGTGTGGTTCAAAGAGAATTTATGGTGCTGATGGAAGCTGGATGGCATGAAAACATGTAGCTTTATAAAAGGCATCTAAAATACTCTCACAGCCACCTGGTCCCTCTTAAAAGTAGTTTGTGTTCTTCTGTAATAAAAATGTTTTATTGGGCCTAGCTTACATTATAGTTACAGACTTACTTTCATTATTATTTATCAGTCTTCATAAATGCCATTGAAAAATTTTATCAGGATTTGATATCTAATTCTGTGAAAATGTTTAATAATCAAGTTTAGCTCTGATCTTTACAGAAACCTAGAAACACCTAAATTTCATGAATTACTTTTCAGATCAACTGCACAGGCCATTTTTAATCCATTTAACATATTATTGATGTTGCATTGCCTACATTTTTCATCTGAACTTCTCAGTGATAGATCAGACATCCTAAAAACAGTTTATTAAAATGAATAGTAAACTTTATCAACTGACTTGAACTGCCTTGCAGAAATCAGATTTATTCAATACAACTTACTTTCCATAAAGCCATTCTAAGTATAACTATACTCTGATGCTTTAATACTTTAATAATTGAATTTCATATCAGATTTTCATTATTTTAGCCAGAAATGAGGTCAGACTAACTGACCTAAAATACCTATCCTGACTGCCCTTTCTGAATATTGACTCAATATTACCATTCTTTTAGGCTCATGGCAGTGTTACAGTATATATACACTTACTTTGAACACTTATTGAAAATGAGGATCATCGAGAGAAAAATTCCCTAACCAGTCCTATAAAGTTGTAAGTTCTCCATTTAAAAATACTACTTTTTTCTAGAAATTGTTTAAAATCCTCCACTGGCTACTAATAGACTGGGAATGTTTCATCATTTTCATGTAACATCAGCCTACTTCCTTCCAGATACAAACCAGAAATATTCATACAAGACTTCTAACTTTACACAGTTACAGAGTTGTTTTATCTAATAATGGGTCATATCCACCCTGTAATATCTATCTTATTATTAGTACATTTTTAAATCCTGCCCATTTACTATTGTTCTTGGCCTTGCTATGCACAGATTTCCTCTTGATTTCTTTAGCCTCTATACTCTATTGCTGCTCATATTTTCAGTTTATTATCTATAATCCATTTTCCACTTCCTTTATATTGCCTTTTTATTTCTAAATATTGTGTTATCTTTCCTATCACACTGAAAAAAGATATTTATACGGAGCTACCCTCTACTTATGGAACTGTGTTTTTTTGGTTACTTAATAAACTGTTACAGTGCACAATTTTTATTCATATTTTCTACCAGCCTCTGTCTGTCAGTCATAACAGCTCTGGAGAAATAAGCTGCTCCCAGTCAAACTGTTTTAGATGCCCTGTTTGTTGCCACTGAATGTGGTTTAGGACATCACACCTGATGCTTATACCACACTCCAACAAAAATAAGTCCAGTAATGATTTACAACATATTGGATACAGCAACTTTTGTTTATAATTATTTCTTCCACCATTTTTAGAAACTATTACCAGATTTTACAATCTAGCAATTTTAGTTGCATAACTGTCCCAAACTGGGCTCCCCATAGCAATGCAATGCTTTATTGTACATTACAAATATGCACTTAAGCAGTAACTCATCAGATAATCTAATTTGATCCAGTGGTATATACCAGACTTCTACCGGAAACCTGTCTGCCAGGTTTTGTAATGTGGTATATTGATCAAAATGGATTCAAGATCCTGTGGTTCTGAGTTATCAATAACTCTAAAGGCAAGTAAAAGTGTCTGCTATAAACAGAAAGAGACACACTCTTTTCTCTGAAGTTCCTCTGTTGTCCTATTATTAGCTGTAACTATTAATTAGCAACACTGAAATTATTTAATTGTTGTATATTAAAAGAAGAACTATATAATGTCATGAGAGACATGGAACGGCCAGAAAAAGTAACATTCCGTTGATTCATGAGGAGATTACACTTGCACTCAGAAAAACAAGTGAGGCTTGTGAAGCGATCAGAATAGCAGTCAAAGATAAGAGGGTCATACAAATATGTAAAACAGGTTAAGCAAGAGACACTTTAAACTTGATCTGTATACAGAAAAACTTATCTGAGTTACTGAAACTTGAGTAAGAATCAAGGTCAGGGGAAAACTGACAGCTACCTGGAAGGAGAGAGCACAAATGAGACAGACCAGACTTCAAAGGAAGAGCTGGTACAGGAAAAGAGTACTGCTACCTATTGTGCCACCTCAATCTTCCTATTCAGGTTATAGCATCAGATATGTAAGAGGTATTTTAACAGGATTTACTTGATATACTACAAAATTCCACTGAAAAGCCACGGATTTTCAACTGTATTTTTTTACAGCAATACACTGTGAATAAAACCAGATTTCAGAGAACTTTTTTTTCCATAAATATTTAGTACCTAGCTAAACAAAGCAGTCTACTGAGGAACTCCCCGTTCATCAATATTTGACTTAGAGACAGCACCTTTATTTTAAAAAAATCTTTGTGCAGAGGAACAGTAGTCAGCAAAAACACTACTTGAAATATGCATGCATATTCTTTTATGCTGGGGAGAAACTACATATTTAGCTTTATTAGCTAAATATTACTTTCATTTATAGAGAAACTACATATTAACATTCTTTTCACATACAGTATGACCATGTAAATGCTAATGAATATTCATGGTAACTAACAGAGAAGCAGTCATCTTATTCAACAATGAATGAAGTATCATAATGGTTGCTAATAGGTGATTTTCCTCATTACAGCTACTTTTGAGACCAGATCTTTTACTTTCTCATTATCTAATTTTTGACAGACTTTTCATTATGGAGGTATGTAAAGTATTGACAGTAGGAACACTTGTTTGTCTCCTTTGTCTATAATTTCTACTGCAGTTTATTCAATGAAGTAATTCCAAAATTCATAGCAGCCTGAATGGAGACTGAATTTCATCTCTCTATCATCAATGACATAGGAATATTTAATTTAAAAAAATAGATAATACATTAGATTAATTCAGACTTTCCCTTACTTATACAAAAATAAGCATGCAGCTGTGGAAAGAACACTTATTTCTTCCTCTTAGAGGAAGCATTCTGTATTAGAAGAAAGCACATTTCCCCCATGAAAAAGAACAGTTTGTTCAAGAACAGGCAAGATGTTTCTGAAACACAAGGCACAGTGATCAGATTTATACCACTTTTCCAAGGGTTACAAAACAAGGCAAACAGAAGATAGCTTTTATTTTAATCACAAACTTAAAAAATAAAGTAACCCTTCTTTTTAACTAACAGGCACATTTTTTTTCATGAAAATCAATCGTCATTTTCACCTTAGATATTTTAGCTTATAAATTCTTTGAATTTAGGATTTTAAAGTGCATTCAACACTGTTCAGTCTTTTTTCATAGTGAAGTTGATGTGAATTTTACAACTGAACTGAACATGGGATGGTTCCAGGCCAATACCAGACATCTGAAAACCATCATATATTGACTTGCTAATCTGATGATGACAGAAAGAAGGTAGAATGCACAAGTAATTAAGTTACTAAATTTCAATCCACAGTGGAAAGTTATTCATGAAAGATATATATATGCATTCTTTTTACAGTGCATCAAAATACCACTGCTCTTTACCTCGCCTGCTATCAGACTTGCTCAAACATATCTGAAACCAGCTCATCTCTACAGAAACCCAAGAACAGTAGAGAAGTGGATCTGTTTCATGGGTTAGTAAGATATGACCTTGTCTGAAAGTAAGTATATAGTATATATGCTAAATTCAAGCTAGATATATACTGATTAGGCATTACAATTCTTAGTTACATAGTGGATATTTCAGAAAAATAAATAATATATATATTTCAAATACTAAGTTACAAAACACAGATTAGTCCACTCTGTAGAAGTTCACACTGAAGTAGTATGATAAAGCGATCTGTATAACACCATAGACACAGTATTATTGCGTGATGCACTGTAGCAGATTGTTAAGTATTTAACCAAAATAAGAAAACAATATTCTACATACTGCTTTTAAAACTGCTTTCAATTTTGCAATATAGAGGCTTCCTTATTTAATATTTCTGCCATAAAAAGCACATGCATGTAGAAAATCAGATAATTCACACTAATCAACAGATACAAATTATTTTCTTAAATGGGTTGGGAAATTTTCTTCTGCAGAGTAATCTGCTATACAACTAAGCACTTTTTCTTGGGAAGAAGTACATGGCAGCCATATACAAAAAGGTGACCAATAAAAATTATAGAAGTCTTCAGAAGTCTAGGACAGACACCTAGAGAGAGACTCTTTTTCCCTGTTTAGACCAGTCCAGAGCTGACACCAGGCCAGTGCAGGAACTTCAAAGATTGTTCCAGAACAGGGAATGCACCAAAGATTAGCCTCATTTAATCTGTTACATTTTGCTTTCACTCAAGAATACCTTTATTTAGGTGAACACTCAAAAGGAAATCAAAACACAAACCTTCACAAATGTCATGAACTCTTCTATTTTGTCATTGGTAAGCAGCAGCTTCTTCTGTAGGGTCTCCAAAGCGTGTCCGCTCTGTTTAGCCAAGCCATGTAGTTGTTGAGATGCAGTAGTCTCAAGTTCAGTCATGGCACATTCGGTCTCAATCATTTTGCTCTCTAGGCTGGTAAGCTTGAGCTCCTGAAATACATCCACAGAGAAACAGCAGTGATATGATAAAAGCTGATAGGCAGGTATGGTAGACCACAAACGAACGAACAAACCAACCTCGCACGCAATGGTTAACATCACAGAACACTCTACTTGCAACACATAAAATGTAATTTCATGGGAGAAAGTAATTTCATTTTCAGTCATTACAGATGTTTTGGCATCTAAATTTCAGTGACGTGACTAAATTAGAGAAACACATTACTATAATTCTGCTCTTTTTTCCCTTTCTGTATTTAAAAAGTCTAAGCTGATGACCTTGCAACTTTTCATTTGAAAGTGAGATATGAAAGTTCCACAGTGGAGCTGTCACAACTCTAACATACCTTTTTCTCCAACTCATCTTTAGCCTTGTGATACATCTGCTCATACTGAGACTTCTCTTTTGTAGCTACATTAAGTCTTTGTTTCAGTGAGTCAATGGAAGTTTTTTTGTTTGAACAGTCTTCAGCCAGTGCCTTTACCTGAAATAATGAAAGGCCAAGAGCAACTGACTATTAAGATATAAAACTTAGAAATTAAAATCAAAACTAAGCTTACCTATATGGTATAAACATACCTGTACTATGTAAATAATTTGATTAAAGTACCTTTTTCTGAAATTACAGACTTTAATAAATCTCTCCTGCTTACCCAATAGAGATCAGTTTGCACACAATCTTGTTACATAAAGTTTTGACCTGTATTAAGTGTAAAGAAAAGCTCTTCATTTGCAGAGCCATTTGTTTATATATATTTTACTGTTATGGTGCATGTAAAAGGGAGCAAACCACAACGTCCACTAATTTCTTCTATCAGAGGTAAAAACATTAATTAAAACTCAGCTGAGAAAATTATAACTGTGTACAAGTTAATAGCCTATAAAGCCTCTTAGATAATTATTATCATTTTGCCATACAATGCAAACACTGATTTGGGGTAAAATGAAATAGACCAATGCTCCTAGAAAATCATTCAGCTCTCCTGACATTATTAATCACAAAGTTTTCCTGACAATATCAAGAAACAGGGAATTTCTTTGATCTTCTGCTGAAGATAATGTAGCATTTATCACGTTGATTTTCCACATGGAATAATCAAATTAATGTATGGAATTTGATCTTCTAGAATCTGAGAAATGCAGTGCTTAAAATACCCAAAGAACAGCAGTAAAGTACATAATTCCATTCTAAATCTTTCACCTAAAACCAGAACGAGGTATTTTTCTCATTCCATACTTTAGCTCCCCGGCTTACTTATGCTCCCACTCTCTGGCTGCGGATTTCTTAATAACACCTTATCTTTGGCATGGAGGGTAAGACAGTAGCTCTCCCTAGAGCTGAAAGTGCTATATGACTGCAAGCAGAGATAGCACTTTTGATACTCAGCAAGTATCCACATTCTAGGAAAACAGAAGCAAATTGGTAAATTGTTAATTTCAGGGTCAGATGCTGCATAACCTCACAGACAACAAAATATCATAATCTTTTTCTGGTATTAAAGGCCAAAGTGCAATACATTGCTTGGATAATATAGAAAGATGCCAAAACATATACAAGTTCTCCTTGCTTCAGTGAAATCATCCTAGAATTTTGCAGGAGAAAATAATTTGCTATAGAAATTAAGCTCTACCTACACAGACAGAATTACATTAAGCTAAGAACTGTGAATCATTCGTAACATTGCAGTAGAAAACAGATTAACATACTAAAGCATTTAACTACGATAGCCAGGAGAGTGCATGGACTTCATTAGCATGTCACGTAAAATAACCCTCGTTTCAGGTCTACTGTATTTTATGAACTTACAGTGAATAAAACTAAATCTCACTACTTACAGCATATCCTTGCAATTCAGTGTTCTGAATACTTTAATATTTAATTATACCTCTTACGAACATACATTAAATTATGCTGAATCCGTCCAAGCTATCACCATATACTGATTTCATACAAATCACAGTGTAGGGAATTATACCCTTAAATTAACTGTATGTTGTTTGCTTAAAGCAATATATTGATTTAGTATGTACAGCGTGTTGAAATAACTTCTGTAAATCCACCAGCTTTTGCTTCTCCTAGAACTATCAATAGCAAGAAAGAAGTACCTTTCTCTCAAGACTTTCTAATGTTTCATTAGAGGTTTTCTCATTTTCTTGATTTGCTTTTAGACGAGACCTTAAGTCTTCTACCAAATGTCTTTTCATATTAAGGTCCCTCTCCAATCGAGAAATCCTAGAAGGGAAGAAGTCACACTGCATGTCACTGTTAGAAAATATTGTTAATATGCAACTATTTTAAACAACTAAAAAGTATAAATGCAGTAGACAAACTATCACTCCTGTAATTTTAGAATACTTTTTTAAATAAAAACTGATGTTATTCGTGCAATTTACCCTATTCTCAACCATTAAAACCAGTTTCAAGTCTCTTATTAAACAGACCTATTTCTAAATATGCAATTTATTTGTGATCTGCTTTTTGCTGTGGTTTATGCTGCAACTTGTCTGATCTGAAATCATAGTAATTCTTCTTAAGCTATTATCAGAAAAAGGCAAAAAACCTGTTGAACACACAAAATTTAATTACTTAACTTTCTTTGATGTCTCAAGCAGGTATCACTCAAACACTATTTTGTACAAAATTATTTTCAAAAGGAAGTGGAAGGGGGAAGTCTCCTTTCAACCAACTAATACACAGAAATACATGAAAAAATCTCTAGCCTATAATATGTCAGATAGGATAACAATTCTTTAAAACTGCAAAACCTAGAAATAACATCAGCATTTTTCAGAAACTTCTCACAAAAAGAAACTCTCATGTTCTACAATGTAATCTCTGTTCAGTGAGAAAATTATGCCTTATACAATGCCTCCACCATTATGATACAAATTAATATTTTAAATATTAAGCAGTACCTGAAATGTTCAGACTTCTGGATTTTTTAATTTTTTTTTTTAGTGAAAACAAAATGAATGATGGTAATATATTTAGGAATACAACATTGTTGATACCATGTCAATAACATTAAAAAAACCCAGGACAACAGTGCATCTTAAAATTTCTTCCATCTATTTCACATTTATACTATTAATGTTATTTTGGTGATTATATCTTACAGTTTGTGAAAAAACAGTATCTATTTTATGAAGGAAGTATGATAACCAGTATCTATTTTAAAATTTATGGTGGAAAAATTCGGTTTCCCTTTGAAACAGAAAATACACAATGTACACAATTTAACAATTTTAAGAGTTCTCCATTTTTGAAATGAACTGATTTCAGATAACTAAACTGCATTCTTTCTACAAATAAAAAGATTAGAATGGTTAGAGGAGTGAAACTCTGGGACAGGCAAGCAATACAATAATAGCTTATGTTTATATAGTAATGTAATGGAAGAACAGTATTATACGAGTTCAAGAAGGTAGAATAAAAATCTCAGTTGCATACTTCACAACTATACATGTGAATTTCAAAATGAGTAGAAAACCTTAATCAATTCAAATAAAAACAAATAAGACTGTCCTTTTGAACTTTTTATGAGTGTAAGACTGGATTTTTAATCTTGTTTGAGCATCTGAACCTTGACATGTCTCTTAGCCCCTAGGCAAAGAATTACTGTATTTGAAAGACTATGTTTAACAGTGCTGAGGAATTCATTTAGGCTTACATCAAGGATGAAACATTCTACTCTAGAGTCTGAGTTTTGATTTAAGGTATTCTTATTGCAATACAGATACTGTAGCTAGCTAATCACTCATCACTTGAAACAAAATGCAATTTTAGCATGTACTGCTCCAGTTTCAAAAAAAAATCCCCTGTAACAGTCTGCAAGACTGCAATAAAAAGAAGAATAAAACTTTCTCTTACAAAATCCATTTAAGAACGGTTAATTATACAGCTGCCACTGGGTGGCACCAAACACAATGGATAGAAGAGTGAACATACTTAGCGTGTAGTGCCCGAATCCGTTCTTCTTTTTCCTGGACTTCTTTTTTTAGTGACTTAATGGTGGCCGATTGCTTAGTGATTTCATTATTTGAACTCTACATTGAAAAAGTATTAAAACATAAATAAAGCAGACTGAGTATTATTGCAGTCAACAGTGAATTTGTTCGAAATAATTAGCTGTGTAAACTTCCATGTGGTTTATGAATATTCTTAGAAATTGGCACAAAAGGAGCATTCTTACTTTCTAGCAACACTTAAGCAGAAGTACATTCCTTGGAAAATATGATCAAAATCAGTACTTTTCCATTGCTCTAAGAATGTATGATTAACAGATGTTCCCCCCAAGATACCTGCAAGCCCAGTGCACCTATCAGGACCATACTTTCTCTTGCATAGCATGGTCAGCTGAAAAGGGAACAAAACAGAAATAAAATTGGATCTTCATCTGAACTACATCCTTGAATGGTATACTTCTACTTCTATCTTCCTAACTTTCAGGCATGTGTAATTCCAGTGAAGGAGAATTACACAGTTGTTGGCCTTTCCTCATTGTATATAGTAGGAAGTAAAATAAAGCTTCAATTCCTCCATGCAAACACACAGATTATCTACCTAAGATGTAACTACAGAACAACTGAATCACTCTACAGAAATAAAAATACAAAATTTAACTAAGTAGCCATCTTAGCAATCTGAGCATATGCATTGAATGCCATTGCTGAAAATGGCAGCTCAAACATATCGCATATAGAGATTTCAGAACTCCAAAAGGTATTGCCAAAAGATACATACGTGTTAAATGTAAGCACAACATATATGTGTGCATATATGCATGCAGGTTCAACCTCTGTACTAAAGCTTTTTACTCATTAGGTATAAACAATAAGCGAACAGATCAGACACGCTGTAAACAAGGATACTTCAGGAGAATTTCTCTGCTCAGTGCAGACTTGTAACACCTATTAACATTAATGGGAGTATTGTACATAACTCTGTGCACCTCAAGGGGAGTATATATTCTTGTGTGCATAGTTAGATGTAAAATATTGTTCTTAATAACTTGTCTAGTCTATTTACTATTATTATAATGTGAGGTATAACCAGAAAATTGTTAAAATGATGTATGGTAGCAGAATATTCCTGAGACCTGTTTGTTGAGCTTGAGCTTCATTACCGTGAAGCACAGCACCCAGTTACATGGTGTACACACCAGATACAAACTTGAATACTTAGATGGGCCTCTGCACGTGCTCAGAGGCAATGACATATGCTTATGGTATTTTGCTTCCAAACTCACCACCCACACTTAACACATTTCTTCCTATTTGCAAAGACGAAAGGAGTCTTTATATACAACATAAACAAACACTGCAAAGATAGCTCTGAGAAAAAAAAAATTAACTAACAAACCCAGGTATTTTGAGATTTTGAGCTATAAAGCTTTTGCTACTTTCACATTCAGACATTTAGGGGAATAACTTTGTATCTCCTTTTTAAGTATGCTAGATAGCCTGGAGGAATAGTTGACAACTATTACCAATTTCTTCTGCTAAAAATGACTTGCAGGCCTTAAATTTTTGAAAAATTATTAGGTCAAAATAAGGCTAAGAATTTCAGTAACTTGATTTAAGTTGCTTTTGAGGCACTTATAAGGCACCCAAACTCTCACCCAATTCAGCAACTAGTGAATTTACTCTACTAATCTACATTTGGGGTCACAGACTGTGTTTACTCTAAAATGTAGTTTTGCATACATAGCTTATTTTTTACATTAAAAATGTAGTATATCTTTAAGAAGGAATTAAAAGTCATGTTAGTATTTTTGACATCAGATTTATATATGCTTGCTATATTAGTTTCTTCTGCTGCAGAAACAAAAAACCCTTTGATTTTTCAGCAATATATGTTGCAATTCACATGTACCAGACAGATAAAGTAGGCTTCTAGCATGAGTGTTACTCAGAGTATTTAAAAAAAAAAATCCTCATTTTTTATTTTTCTTATTTTCATAGAGAAATTTACTAGGTTTCTGGATAATGAGGACACAGATCTAAAAGGAACAACCCTAATTAACAGAAATTACCACTCACCAGCAACAGAAGCAGATTAGTCAAACCCAAATCTGAAATCAACACTCAAGAAGTCAGCACGTATGGTTTCAATATCTCTTTCTCATAATTAAAGTAGATCAAATTATCACCTTTTCAGGGCTACTCCCTGCTGCCCTCATCTCTTCCTTAATGTGACCCACCTTTACTAATCCCTGAATTTAGATGTTACACATTCAGTATGGTATAGCCAAGATCTGTAATACCATGATTACCATCAACAGTTAAGAGGTCTGAGCACTACCTGCATCTTGTGCGCTAGTACAGCTAATCTAGGACTCAGAGCCAGAGCCAGCTATATCGCTCATATATGGCCTTTTCTTGTAGTTGAGCCTTTGGCAGCCAGCTTGCTAGTGTGCCATTTCTTCTAGCAGGAAGAAGCTATACCATTTTGACCTTTTCTTTTTCCTCAAATATTAAACAAAAATGATGGAAAAAACCAACTTTAAGACATTCTGTTGCACATATATTTCCTCCAGTGAGAAGAGAGGAAGAATTATTATATTCAAGCCAGGCCACCTCCTGAGAAAGCTCTCAGATAAATACAGTCCAGCACCTACATCATCCACATATAACAGAATCACTGGAGAATGAAAAATGAAATCAACAAGTCAGTATTTTCCTATCGGCTAATCTACAAAAATACAAATACAAAAAGAATGACGTCTCTTTGAAGACAAGAACAGTAGTGACATATAGGTAACATAACACTGTTACATTACTTGAGCTGCCCCATCAGATCAAATTCTTTGCTCCCCTTTTACAGATAGCTATTGCTTACCTCCTTCTTAAAGGAAGCAAGGAATCAACACAATTCTCATTGCAGTAATTCCACAGCACTTTCCAACAAGATGCATTTAATCATTGTGTGAAACCCAGAAAGCCTCCCTGTCCAGCCTATTTGATCTGCAAGAATTGTTTTAATTGTAACTTTTAATTCTCCTGCTTATGACTACATATATACTTAACACCAAAGGTTATCTAACACCCAAGTTGCTAATCATTGGCTAAGATAGATAAATTATATGCATGTGAGTATACATATATCTGCTTGACCCAGTTATGAAATACTGTTCATACGAATTATCCTCAGCACTAGATAATCTGTTCTGTCACCTTTAGTTTGCACTGCAGCTGTTTAATCTCTAAATCAGGGTTCTTTGAAGGAGATGGTATGGCATTACTCTTGCCAGCAGTATGAGACAGATGTTCTCTCAACTTCAATTTTCCTTGTAAATCTTCTTTCTCCTGTTGCCACTTGGCCAGGTTGGAGGTCAACACCTGTTTTACAAATAGAAGAAACAATCACAACTGCATCCGAAAAACATTTCTCCTTGATCATATGATGCTTCTCTGGTTCAGCTTTCAAGAGAAATGAAAGAATATTATTATATGTAATTATATTGCATAGCTGTTTGGTTGAATTCTTTAGCCCACACAAAGATCAAACCCAGCAGGAAAGAGAAATCAACTAACATTAAAAACAAGGAATTTTTTTAAAAGGCAAGCTAATTCAATTTTCACTGTACACATTTCTATTTTTACCATGATAGGCAAAAATTATCATACAAAACTGTAACAGTAGTTACTGTTGAAACCTGTTTACCTAGAGCCTCTCTGGGATTCAGCAATTATTTCTACACAGAGCATGAAGAAATACCAAGGTGTCTCAGACACCAATGCGTATTAAAGGTGGTTAAATGTCAAATCTGTTTTAATGGTGACCACTGTAAGCTCACTTGAATTGCTGTGTTGACAACTGCTATAAAACATACACCCTTCTCTTGGCTTTTGTTTTGATATTTGTAGGGCTTGTAGAGGTTAAAGCAAAGTGGACCAGCTGCACTAAATATCTTCTGGTTGGCTGGTCTTTACTCATGTTGTGTTATTTCTTCCCTTTCACATATATGCACCATAGCCAGAGAACCACATATTCCATAACCTTGACTCTAAGGCTGAGGTACTTAAGTGGTAAAAGCCAAGCTGGAGCAGGACAGGATAACAGATGTTAGTTGTTTATTCCACTGGGTAGGTCTTACCACCCTACGCTGCAGCCAAAACGCTTCTCATTTAGCAACATAAATGCTAAGTCCAATTAGCAGACGAAGCTTGTTAGGGATTTAGTTCAAATAAATAACATGCAAACAAACTCTCAGTCTTGTTGCACTTGATTGACAACTGACAAGACTTACTCAATCTTTGTAACAATATATTTCACAGTACTCCTTATAGAGCTTATCTTTTAAATAAAATATTTGTTTTAATTTAAATAACATTGAATGTTGTTCTGTGAAAAGGGGAACTGAAATAATCTTCACGCTAGTTAACTTCCACGAATCTGTAGTCAGTTGAAAGCCACCAATGGCCTAACAACTCTCTGCTTCTTAAGAGGGTAACTACAGTACTATCCTGTTTTTGCAAAGAAGATTGTAATATAGTACTTTACATAAGGAACAATTATACAAAACGGTATTGAAATCTCTCAAAGGGCAAAAAAACCTTTCTTTGTGAAGAACCTTTATAAGAAACTGGAGAAGAGTCTACAGCTTGAAATTACTAAATCTGTGCCTGATTATATGCTGGTACACAAAAAAACAGAGGTGAGAAAAAGTTAAAGATAGTGTTCTATTTCCAAGCATTTTATTATTTAACTAAAAAATAGATTTTTATACTGTTTGATGTTATTAGAAAAAACTTTTTATATACACGTGTTTATTATATACACATACACTTCCATACCGATCATCTGAAGATTACATATATACCCAAATAAAAGAAAAACTACTTATGGTCATGTTTATTCCCATTATGAATGACATGAGAATGCTTGTAGATTTTGCATTAGCTTAAAAAAATATCATGGATACAAGAAAAAGCATCCTGTATTTAAAGTCAAAACTCTAACAGTATTTCACACTTAAGTGCATTTATTAAAGCCAATGGGCAGTTTACATATGTATCTGAGGTAAGTACTGTTCTTAGTATAGGGGTTAATCTTTCCATTCTCTTCTGCATCTGCTGTCATTATGGAACACAAGATAAATAGTGTTAATGTATTTTCTAATTGGTCATTCCTTAATTTAATATATTATTCTCACAATTAATAGTCTGAGTAAAACACAAAATGAAGGCTACTTTAATAAGCAACAACAGTAGTAGTAGAGAAAGATATAGTACAGAAAGATAGAGGATTAGGTTAATTTGTCCAGTATAGCCAACATTTCTACATGCGGAATTTCATGATTCAGTGTCTCTATAATAAATTATTCATAAAAAGAAAAGAAAAAAAATCATAGCTAGATCAATAGCTCTGATTAAAATTACAAATGCCCCCATATCTGCCCAAGATACCTTGTGACTCTCAGAAGTTTCTTAGGCTACTGCTGCCACCAAAATGCATCTGGTCTAAAACGCCATGATTGCAGCAGCCACATTCCCCCAAATGACAGCAAATATATTGAAAAAGAAAGGGCTTTCAAGGGACAGGTGCCAAAGAGGACAGTGCTACACTGGTTATAGAATTTACTTAAGTGAGGAGGCAGAAAAAAATTATTTAAAATATGAATGTACACAAATTCAGAAACAGCATCAGAACTATGAGGTTGAAGTGAAAGCAATATATGATGTACAAGACAAACACCCCTCAACTTGCAAAAGCAGATAGAGCCAGAGACACAGTTGCAATCAGACCTATCAAGAAGGTTGTCTCTTAACAGCTCTGGACACGATGTAAATGGTGTTATAGGGTTGATAATTCTATTGCATCATTCTTCTACTTGCAATATATTGAGAGGTTATGTGAAAATTCCATATAAATCTATGCAGGATGTGAAAAACAGCCCCCCTGTCCCAGCAAGGTATTTATGCCTAAAAGATATTCTTTGCATTTATGTACTTAAGAAGCAAGTTCATTACCCTCTGTCCCTCACCACTTGCTAAGTTTTAGGTCAAGACTTTTCTTTTTTTAGACACGGGGCGGGGGGGGGGTTGTGTGTGTGCTACCATGCACACAAATCCTGAGTGACAGAGTAAAAAGGATTTACTCCAGGGGAAGAGGTCACCAGGATGAAAGGTAGAATCTTAAACACCAGCTAGACCAGATGTTGGTAAAGGCAGGCTACCGCTGTTCCTCCACAATGTAGCGGCCTTTGTCTGCTGCACCTCCTCCAGAGTGTTTTGGTTTAACAGATGTTTATAGATTCAATATTTTAACATCCATCTATCTTAATCTCCTTGCTCCTGGTATACCCATGACACTCTGTTCTGCTGTACACAAAGGGATAAGTGATGAAAATTTCAGTTTCTATGTAGTCAATGTAAAACTTCCAGTGACTCAGCAAAGCTTTTTACCATAATCCCTTTGCTCAGAAAGACAGCTACGTGGAAGGCCCAATGGATTAATGTAGGAAGCTTGTGGAACGGCCTATTGCTCCCTGGCATCACAATGAACCTGTGAGAAGCTTCTAGCTCAGTTTACAGCAGAGTCATCCTCCTACTGCAACCGGCATGTATGAAAATGACTTTTCTGTTGGTGGTGGCTGATACTGTACTGCCACTGCTGTATGTGATCCCATGCATTTATATTTGCAGAATATATTATATGGCATGTACTTCCAGGCAAAATTATAAAATAGGATGTAAATCAGGTGTTCTTGAAACCCTTTTTAAGCCATGACACAACCTTATTTTACTACTCTTCTTGTAATCCAACTATAACTAATACAAATATCCTCAGATGTGTAAAAATCGTATTTGCTATGAGGCTTCCCATCCTAAAATCCTGGCAGATGAAAACATTACAATGTGCATAGAGATGTCTATAAGGAACCTGAAGTCAACATATTCCTTCTTCTTTTCTCTAAGAAACCTTGCTACAGTAGGTAATAAGATACATTTGCTATATGCATAGCTACTGTACCAAGTTCTATTCTAAAATCTAACAGTCTGAAGGTTTTAAATAGAACGCTATTTTCTCACAGCTTTAGCTTGACCATGAAAAATATACAAGATAAGCAGTACTTGTTGCACGCATAAACCATGAAAGAACTTTACAAAACATATTTGCAGGCACTGAGTTAGGTATTTATGATTTTACACACTCTTGTCAAATGTTATTATAACATAATGATAAACCTACTTACAATATCCAAGGCAAAATTTATTGAGTCAGTCCCACTAATCTTGACCCTGTTTTGTTCTCTTGAATCAAAACCTACCTCTGCCTGATGGGTCACAGAAAAATAAGCTAAAATTAATAAAGGTGGTATGTAGCTATCTGAAAATATGAAAAGATATATACCAGACTATAAAGCCAACTGTGCTGCATACTTAATGTGGTCATATAGAGAAAAGGCAAATAACTCCAAATCCTCAGTGAAAGTTTTTTTCATGCAAGTGCTGTAAGTGGTTGATTACTTAGTATTCCAGACATGAAGACAAAATATGAAACAGAAGTCTTTGGTGGCTTAATATCCTATCCCTAAACTGAAACAAGGCCCCCCAAAAGCAAGAAATAGTTCTAAAATGTGAAAGTTATTTGCTATTTATTCTTCTGAAATTTTAGTAAAATCTACTGTATCACTGAGTTATAATTTTTTTTTCAGCCAAATGCAGTTATCAGCAGCTGACTGTTTAACAAAATGTCAAGTAAATGAAGGTAATATAGAGGACTTTTTGCCAGTGCTTTAGCTAGTTGTTAGACTTCAGTAGCCTTTAGAGACCATTAAGTACCCTTTGGCTAATTGGCCAATGGTAGATTAATCCTCCTTTTATTCTAGCAGCACTATTTTAACACCCTTTGCACTCTGTCAGTGTAATATCTGAATGACAAAATAATATTGTGCATGAATAATAAGCAGAAAAGTTAAATTAACATTTCATGTTTCACATGTCATACCTATGTGTCAGGGAAAAAAAAACCAACTTCTTTTAAAGCCACTGACATTCAACTTTTTTAAACAATCTCATGTTGACATCTTACTGAAGTGAATCTTCCTAATTACTGCTAATTGCCTATCAAGAAAAAAAAAATCTTTCCTTGAAGTGCAGTTGTCTAGTATAGATGAACACAGCTCCAATGTGCATAGTAAAGACAGCCATGACACTTGAGGTGTGCTACATTATTATGAGGTCATACTAAATATGGTTTGCAATGAACAAAGCAGCTTTTAAGGATGTTTAAGGCACTGAAAATGTCAATCTCTCATGAAGTGTTTAAATTAGTTCCCAGCAGAGAAATACAGATCTCAGCATGCAGATAAGAGGTATATTTCTCATCTCAA